TATCGACGTGCCGCGGTCCTCGGTATCCCGAAAGGCCCCTTGTTCCACGACGGAACACGCATTTTAGATTACTATTTTAAATTCATTGATTTAAAATCAATGAAAATTTTTATTATACTTATTTTATTATACTAATTATTTTATTAATAATTCGAGCTTTAATTAATGTTTATTACTTTTCAAGCTTTTGTTTTGTATTGTATTATTAATAAATTTTTGAAATTTAATCTCTCGAAATACATCATAGTTTTAGTGCGACTAATTACTACCGGTGGTATCTTGGTGATGAAACAATTAAACCATTTCAAAGGACATTCAACTGTGACACCTGCATTAATCAAACAGAACTAAGGCAACGCACTTGAGGATATTAAATTGTTCAGAGTATCAGATTGTGCTTCACTATTAATTGTGATATAATAGTGTTAATAATGAGTTGACGTATACATATGTAATTCCTCATTTCCGTCAACTATTTATTGTTAGTACAATATTATAATTGTCCTATTTCATATGTAAAATTTTCAGTCAATGTTAAATATGAGCAGGGTACTTAAATTTTCAAATATTCAGGTAAACATAGTTTGCAATCAATTTAATATTACACACATAAAGGTGTGTTTGATAAATGAAAAAGTTATTTCCATTTATATAAATATAAATCAGCAACTGTAATTTCATTATTTTCAATAACTGTATATTTTAACTGTATATTTTATTTGAAAATATACATTAGGTCAGCCAGAAAGTCTTGTCGCATTTTTAAGTGAAATTAAAAGATCCTGAATTCCCGTCTACTAAATTAAATTTCATTCAATTATACGCTGACCATTTTGTTCAATAATTTTCTACGTATTTATTTAATACAATATTTACTTTTAATTACTCATGTACCATAATACAAACACCAAACTGAAAATTAACACAACAATATTCCGTATATTATGAAGATTTATTGCAATATATCTTCCATTAAAAATTCCATGTTTTATCTGGCGAACTAATTGTAAGTGATATGGAACTTTCCAAAGGCATTCTACACATAACACCCCGTTTTATCAGCGTAGAAAGGCAGGAAAAATGTTCCATGAACTTCATCACATTGCACATAGAACAGTGGAACCGTGTCCGATTAATGGCACGCTTGGACGAAGTTCGATTAAATCGATCGCGATCTTCCAGCGGAAACTGGATTCGCGTGGATCGATGGCACGGATACGCGCAGGCACACGAACGAAAATCCGCGTTACGTGCCGTAAGCGTGTAAATTGCTTTCGCCGGATTAATGTCAGCGCGCTCGACACCCTGAATCGCCGTTTAATTAAATAAACGACGTCGAACAGAAGTGTTTTCGACCGCCCCGTTGCCAGCTGGACGGCGAATGATTGTCATTAAGTTTAATCATCCAACGATTAGATTAATCATTGACTGTCTGCAGAAAAAAAGGCTGCGTGTGGAATTAGAGGGGACAATTTAATTACACGACAGCACGCTAATATGTTTGCACCACAAATCTGTAAAAAACGTG